AGATCAAAATAGCCATCATTACAGTGCCACCAGGCTTCTGTATTTATGGCCTTCAATCTCTGTTTGACCTTATTAAAATGAGATATCTTATATCCTCTGACTTTTCATGTTTCAATCTTGGTGTGTTGCAATATCCTCAATTTCAATGAATATCATTCGAACTAGTATCATGTGTTTAAGTTAGTCTCTAGGACATCGAGTATCCATGTACTGGATCGAGTATTTTGATTGTGAAACGCTGTGATAATCAAATACTGTTCATGGGGGAACTATGCTCAGGCATATTGGCAGTCAGGGGGAGATTTCTGACTTACCCCAAAACTGGCAATTGATGTTTGTGACATGACAACAGATTAACGCTTTGCCATCTTGAATGTCAGTCCAGTGTGTATGACAGCGACGGCATGGTGATAGTTTAATTTTGTTGTACTGTGATTGGTTAACAGCTAAAATAACAATTGCCTGTATCATACCATATATACAAGAGGCACTATTTCAGCATAAATGTTGAAAGGGAGGGAACTCCCAGTCATGATCAATTTATGAGGTTTGTCTTGATTAAATATCGTTTTTATTATAATCTGGAATAATATGACACTTAAATAATTTACACTTATTACATTTCTGCTGTTACCACAAATTTCCAACTGCCGTAGGGAAAATTAACGCAAACAGAATTGACTTGTCCATATCGAAAAATCACTTGTCTCAGATGTCAGGCAATGGGATTTTTTTAACCCTTGTTGGCAGTCCTGACTTGATTCAAGTCCTTCAAACTCTATTTTGTTTACCAGCTACCACAAAATGTATGAGGTATATCAGTAGTTAATGGCAGCCCTGGTGACACAGAGACAATGCTCAGTCTCACACAGGGTCCTAACTACCATGCCTATATCCAGGCTGGAGGGGGCACGGGTGGCCCAGTCGTCTAAGGCGCCGCGATTCGCTGTGCAGAGTTGCGTCCCTTAGGCACGCTAGAAACCTATGATTGTGGGTTCGAATCCCTGTTTGCCCCGATTATGTTTCTAGGTTTGTCAACACCATACCCATGCTCGTGGGTTTCACCGAAGTGGTAAACGTCTGAGACCTGTATCACTTCGGGCTTTCCTCCCACATTAAGCTGACACACCGTGATATGAGTGGAATACTGTTAAAAGCGGCGTTAAACCAGACTCACTCACTCACTCACTCGAGGCTGAAATTGGGTGCCAGACCTGTGACCCTTGTCTCTCTTTAAGGATGTCTGCTGATCTTTATTTGTAAATTAACATTTTCAAAAAAGGTATTTTGATATTCTATTACATGATATCTAAAGACCCAATTGAATAAAATAAATCTTTTCTACAGAGACAAATGGGGAAATCATTCACTGTGTTAAGTATACTTAATATGATTTAACTTTGAAAAATATTTAACCACATATAGATAAAATGTTCATCAAAAGGAAAACCTAATAATTTCTATAGGTTAATGTGCAATTTCTTGAGAAAATGGATAAATATGTTTGCATTTACATATATCACTCAATAAAGTGCTGCAACATTCCACTGGTGGCTATGATGGCTCAATGCAGTGATGGCATAACTAAAGAATGTTGCAGAGCTACTCCCTTTCATTTTTACCTTAGGCAATACGCAAAATTGGGATTAATTCACTATTTTGTTTGACATATAACGCTGTATCTTTGATGATGTAATTTAAAGTGTATGATTCCTAGTTGTACTGCTTGGCCTTAGCGGTAGGTTGACTTTAAATATTTCACATTTCACGACGGTTATCATTGCGAAGTGAACACGAAATCATACCTGCAGACATCTTAAACTTGAACTCAACTCACTCACTCTGAAACTTGCAGTTATATTCCCAGACTCATTCATCTATTGTGTAAGGGTCAGGCAAAACTGTTACAAATTTTACTAAAATTTTATATGTGTAGTATCTAAAGATATCACATGTCTCTTTATATTCTGATAAAGAAATAAAAATTAATTAAATTAATTTTTTTTATTGTTATTTACAAAAACCCATCTTGGCATACTTAACATCATAAATGTGTCTTACCCACAGAAAAGCCCTCTAATAGACTGGTTTCTGGTTGTTTATGCCTTGCATCACCTTTATTCCTGGTTCTATGTAACTGCATCACCTTTGTGATCCGCAGAACTGGATTCCTTTGGCAAACAGGTTTATTATCTAACGATCTATTGTTAGCTGACAGTCAATATATTGGAATTTCTCTTTAGCTTGAAGCCAGATATCTTTGTAAATTTCACAGAAATAAATGCTAATATGTTTCCTGTATATGATAGAATCCAAATGTGATAACATCACAGAAATGGGAACAGTTATCTTGAAATAAAATGAAACTATATTTACTAAGTATAACTATTTGCCAAAACATCATTATGAACTATATGACTCAACTTGTAGCTAGCTGATAAATTTAATTATTTCGACAGACAAATTAGATTAAATTACACGACTTGAGCTTGACTCCTCTTTTGTTGACACTGACCTCATGATGTGTCAAATCCAGTGCCCACTCCCACATATAGCACACACCCCCTCCCAACAAACAATTCCCTGTCTGCGAACAAGATCCCCTGGGGAAGAACACAAGTTTTCTATAATTACCATTTTATGCTCTGAAGTTTTTGAATGGAATATTTTATTTTCTCACAATTGGCATATTTCACCAAACTTAAACGAAAAAGAATATCTAAAAAGAAACACCTAATTCTATTGCCCTGGCTATGATCAATGACAAAAAAATCCATTTTGTGGAAAATAATCAACTTTAAATCTAATACACAAATTTCATTTTATTCTAATCAAACTCACTTCACTCCAAGCCAAATACAAAAATAGAAAAATCAATACAGCATATTTCTCAATATTCTAAGCACATCCTCTTTCCCTTTAATCAATTCTTTGATTGCAATGAAATCTTATCGCAATCATTATGTGTTGTATTCTTCAAGCTAACACTCTTATCACATAGATAGATAGATGTATAGATAGATTTCACATAACATCACCCCTAAGGCGAGAATATAATAATAGTCCACACTATCTCTGTCATACAATGTGAAACAAAATCTATTCTACCTGTACTCTTACAAAGAATATAATATATTTCCCTGGATATAATTAGTTCCTTTCACAGAGTAATCGTGTGTTATGCAATAAGCAAGTGGTGTTGTACAATGTTCTGGAATCCCAGTGTAGCGGCCAGGCTTCAGGTATGACGCATGACATATTGTCAATAGTATGGCCAGGCTGCACAATGAGTGAGCGAATATCGACTGACTGGTTTGTATAGATGAATGTGGTTCAATCGGATATGAATGTGTTAAGCAATACTGACTCACACAATGCTCACGATGACTTTCACTGACACAGATGACCATATGTTACGAGGCGATTGTAAATGACCCCTAAAATATACCCGGTTTTTTTTACACGTGGCATTCTGTATAGAAGGGTAAAAGTGTGGTTGCTTTTCACATATTACTTTTTATAAAATATAAAATTGAAACTAAAATCAGGAAGCATGAAGCTAAAACATAAATTCATTGCAAGTGTAACCACATATACCAACGTTTAAAATATTGCAATGACTTCCATGTAAATCATTTGAAAGATTTCTGTTTTACACGCTACATGTTAAATTGCTGTCTCATCCTCTTTTAACATTTATTTTTTTCTTTTTAAACACGTAGAATTGTGTATTCAAGCAAAAAATACAGCCTGTTCCAATTCCAGATAAAACATGCCATTAAGATTTATCAAGGAATGAATATTCTTGTGTGTTTTCAGACAATCATATTACAAAAAAAGAAGTTTCAGTATTTCATGAGAAGAAACTGTCTCGCAGCACGCAAAGCCCGACAGTACTGATATGAGCATACGATAAATTTCAAAAGGAATAATGAAGTACATCTTGCATGATTGTACACTCTAAAATGAAGGACATTTTCGGTATTCGTATACAGTGCAACTGTGTTCAGTACAGGTCAGTCATAAACCCTATTTATATAAATTCAGTAACTGACTGTGAATTCAACGACAATTAATTAACACAGCATCTGTTACAGTTTATATGATATACAGCAATTTTACCTTTATCAATTGATAATGCTGTATCAAAATATCGGATATCATTTCTGTTAAGCTGTTGCAAGACAATAAAAACATATGCTAATTTTGTACTTAATTCCAGCATCACAAGGGTAGAACAATGATGGCTTCAATAGTATACCTATTCAATAACTATCCACTCTAAGATACACTTTTCCCTTCGCCTTTAAGCAGTTATCACTAACCGGATACAGGCGCTTTACAAATTACTACTGTTTTTATTTAGTAGTATTACTGTTTTAAGACGCTTCCATTTGTTGTAGGGGCGGTGGACTAACCTAGTGGTTAAGCGTTCACTCGTCACACCGATTCCCCAAATGGGTACAATACGTAGAGCCCATTTCTTGTGTATTAGAGAAACCTTTAGAGACATGCCTAAAATGGTTCATTCCAACAAATTTCATGCCATACCACTATCATATATATGTTTGGCTAACAAGCAAGCCAAGAATCCGAAAAAGTCTAAAAAATATTTTTTTAGATGGAAAATATTTCCACAGATTTTTTTTCAAAAACTATTTCCATGTAAATTATGAAGTAGGAACAGACAACACAGCAGAAGAAATCCTACCGCAGATGGTCTGGTGAAAATGATACTCCCTCCAAGACAGTAATTGACATGTGGCAATAGAAATAGGGTGTATCTATTGCAGACATTACCATCACCCCGCTATCATACAATTTGCTCACTTCACTGTAATGCATCTGTCAAAAAAATGCTCCACAATTGACAAGGGAATATCAGGTTTTAAACAAAAGACTACACTTCAGGCTCTCTCTTTGTGACCAAACAATCATGTAAGGATGATTTAACACCCTGAGATTAAAACAACACCAGCAAACGCAAGTATGGACATTACCTCTATCCCGTCATTCCATGATGCAAGTATGTATCCTCAGGGCAACACCGCAATCCACAAAGAAAAGGCCATTATTTTCCATGTACAGCTGCCGTCAACAAAACACCTGGCACGTGCCAGGGTTTACAACCTTTTACAAACGTTGCTACTACAACATGGCCTGAATGAATGAGCAGCGGTCTAGCCAGCAAGGTCTGAGCTGCAGTAGAGAGAGTCACAGGGCCACAGCGAGTGAAACTACCTGTTTGTAAACAATGGTAATCCTAGAGACAGGTTGGTGAGGTCCGTTAAGTCTTCAGCAACCTGCTGGTCTTCTCCTTGCTGCTGTTGTCTAGCTAGGACTGCACGCTGTTGATGCTGTGACACCAATTAACATTGTGACAGTCATGGTTGGCGATTCCCAGTACGAACGGCCTCCTCACCGATCGTTGCGGTGACTGAGTCGTGCTCTTATTGGAGGACGTCGCTGTTGGAGTCGGGATCCATTCCCCGAACGATTACTCTCACTCCGGCTCTCTCGTCCTCGTCCCTCTTCTCATCCCAGTCCCTTCCACGACGTTCTCCTATCAAGAGACACTGGTCTCATCCGGCATGTCCATTCTTTCTTTCATATGCAAATAGCTGGCGAGAAATGACTCATAAACCCCTCTACATGTTTCCTAATGAAAAAAAAAACTACTACTTGCAGAGCCCCCAAATAGCTTCACATTCAGACATGAGGCAATTCTACAATGTCACCCAGCCCTGTGATGTCAACTGTCCCCATTTATTAGAGTCACTTATTTAATCTGATTATGACAAAACAGTCAGAGCCCTGCATGCCAGGACAATTTCTCCACTAGAGCATGGTTGAAAGAATGCCACTCTTAACCTGTGCAAATATCAGGGATGTCCTCTTGCCCAAAGAATAATACTTTGTATCCAGTCAATTTTCATGAATGATTTTTGTTTTGATAATGGCCAATCTCTTAATATCTCGCGAATAGCTTTTAATATTTGATAGCAGTAAATTTGCCAATGTGACAGTCAATTATCAGTCATTGTTTGCGCAAAGATTCACAGTTGCACTTAATGAAAATTGGAATTATGCCTAAAAAAACAAAATCCATTCAGTTGCATAAAGGTTTGTCGTTTAGTCATAATAATATATGTACAAAAACAGAAGAATTATTTCACTAACTTTCATAAAAATATTTTAACTAGATTGCACTAAAGTAAAAATATCAATGCCTCTTTTTGAATTTCATCATTTTCTTTTAATTAACAGATATCAGATTTATTCCACTGGGTTTATGCAAGAAATTATTCAGATATGTTATCCTCAAATTTGGTGATGGAGATATATTTCCATGGGGAAACCAGCATAGTATCAACAACACACACAACATGTTCAAAGAAACATCACATTTCCATTCACAGCTGAATCAGGATGACAACAGCCATTACTTGCATAACAATAATAAACTGATCAAATATGATTGTCCACAGAAATATGCATCATACTGACAACACACGACGACTGCGGAACATCAAAGAGGCTAGATTGTGCTATTGTTCTGTCATCCTTTGAGCTTGGAGATGAAAGTAATGGCGTTCCAAAGCTTAGAGAGAAGTTTATTCGGTGAGTTGACAAAAACTTAGTCATTATTATTAAACAAGCCGTGATACTTTCGGCAGGTATTTCCGTTATATGAGTAAAAGAAACGACTAAAGTATCAGTTTCTCAAGAAAATGGCTGCAGCTTTCATGTTGTGATATGACTCAAAGAGATTGAACGTATTTCATACTAGAATCTGGGCATGACCTTGAAGCATGATGAAAATAGTTGTTTTAATGGACGTGTTCGACTTAAATCAGAACTTTGACTGTTGGTTGTATCTGACAAGATGTTGAAGTAAACGCATTACTATTGAGTTGATGGGGTAGTTGTCTTGATCTGTTTGGGGGATCTACTATTGAGTTGATGGGGTAGTTGTCTTGATCTGTTTGGGGGATCTACTATTGAGTTGATGGGGTAGTTGTCTTGATCTGTTTGGGGGATCTACTATTGAGTTGATGGGGTAGTTGTCTTGATCTGTTTGGGGGATCTACTATTGAGTTGATGGGGTAGTTGTCTTGATCTGTTTGGGGGATCTACTATTGAGTTGATGGGGTAGTTGTCTTGATCTATTTGAGGGATCTACTATTGAGTTAATGGAGGATAGTGGTTCTGTTGGAGGGAGCTACTATTGAGTTAATGGAGGATAGTGCTTCTGTTGGAGGGATCTACTATTGAGTTAATGGAGGATGGTGGTTCTGTTGGAGGGAGCTACTACTGAGTTAATGGAGGACAGTGGTTTCGATCTGTTGGAGGGAGCTACTATTGAGTTAATGGAGGATAGTGGTTCTGTTGGAGGGATCTACTATTGAATTAATGGAGAATAGTGGTTCTGTTGGAGGGAGCTACTATTGAGTTAATGGAGGACAGTAGTTTCGATCTGTTGGAGGGAGCTACTATTGAGTTAATGGAGGATAGTGGTTCTGTTGGAGGGAGCTACTATTGAGTTAATGGAGGATAGTGGTTTCAATCAGTTGGAGGGAGCTACTATTGAGTTAATGGAGGACAGTGGTTTTGTTGGAGGGAGCTACTATTGAGTTATGGAGGATAGTGGTTTCGATCTGTTGGAGGGAGCTACTATTGAGTTAATGGAGTATAGTGGTTCTGTTGGAGGGAGCTACTATTGAGTTAATGGAGGAAAGTGGTTCTGTTGGAGGGAGCTACTATTGAGTTAATGGAGGATAGTGGTTTCAATCTGTTGGAGGGAGCTACTATTGAGTTAATGGAGGACAGTGGTTTCGATCTGTTGGAGGGAGCTACTATTGAGTCAATGGGGGATAGTGGTTCTGTTGGAGGGAGCTACTATTGAGTCAATGGGGGATAGTGGTTCTGTTGGTGGGAGCTACCATTGACCCAGTGGAGGATAGTGGTTTCAATCAGTTGGAGGGAGCTACTATTGAGTCAATGGGGGATAGTGGTTCTGTTGGAGGGAGCTACTATTGAGTCAATGGGGGATAGTGGTTCTGTTGGAGGGAGACAAGCAGCCACCCACATACACACACACATACACACACACACTCGCAACCACACATACACACCCACCTGCACGTATGCACACACACACATACACATACACCACTGCTATATAAGTGCAATACTAATCTTGAACAATGACATTAAACCCCATTTCACCTCACCTCACACAGTATAACCACCAGTACTAGCCTCTGACACAGTACAAACTGTCCAACCAAACCCCTATTCAATGCTATATAAGTGTATATAAGTCAACGCACACAGTCGGATTCTAATGTCCAAGACTATACAGTTCACGACTATACCACAGTTATCTTTCATTGTCATTTCAAAAACAATTACATTGTTCATTAATAAGATGAACATGAAATATGCAAACTCATAGATAAATATACCACAACTGGCGAAATATCTTGTACATTCCACAAAACAATCAATATTAATACAGATAACAAACGAATAAACACCTCAAGCATATCATGTCAATGATGTAATTCTGCTAATACCGTAAAAAATTCATTGCACAAATCATGCTGCTACTGCTAATGAAATTGTACCCCCAATTTAAATTACTGATGTTCAGAGCAATTCTTCAAGAATCCTTACAATGGCTTACGACCTATGAAAAACATAATGGCTCTATTTCTGGTTTCGCTGACTACAGTCTTTGACATAGCCTTTGGCCGTTGTAGGTGGTAACTTTATTTCTTGGGCTTCACCAGTTTACTTTTTCCTCTTTACAAGATTACTGCCATTTGCATCAGCTTAGACCATTAACCAATCGGCTTAGAGAGCCTGGCCTTCAGGCTATAGGACAGCACACAGTATTAAAAGCATCAGCCATTTGCAACAGTTCTCAAACGACAGTCACGATGTCACTGGTGACATGTTCCTCATGACAGGACTTTGCAAGGAACTCAGGACCGGCACATCCCAATGTGATGTTGGTTCATAAAATACATTTTCCAGCAGGGCTATAGGTTATCTGTCACTGGCCAAGAGATCTACCTTCCGCCATGTTTGATGTGCAAACACAGAGGCCTCTGATGGTAAACATATTTTTGAAGGAAAAATCTCCCAAATCAATCAGTTTGTCATTATAAGAAGAGTGTTCTGGTTGAATCAGGTGCTGCCTGTGTAAATAACACTGGCATACACACATTGGAAGAAGACTAAAAAATGGCGGGAAACTGATTTAGAAGCAGACGTCATTTACACTGGAAAAACGGTAGACTAAAATTTGTGTAAGATGCAAGGACAGATTCTGGATTGCTTCTGTTAAGACTAAAAAGTTTGAAATATCGACTCAAGGAAGATAGCTTCCTAATAACCATGAAGAATTCCTAATATGTGAGCTGAAAAAGAAAAACCAGTATAAAACGCTGACAGTACCAGCTTCAATGGTCATTGACATAGGGAAGATATTCCCCAATATTCAACAAAAGTATTCAAATGCCAAAGGAACATAAGCTCTTGAGAAACAATATTGACAAAAACAACATGAGACATCAATAACAATAACATGCCTGTAAATCGAACAAGTATTAAGGGCACAGCCACATATTACGACACAGTGTTCTCTGTTCATTAAAATTCCACCTCATGCTCAGTGAAGGCTAAAAACTCCATGATAGGCTCTCAAAAATGTGAAGTAGGAACTCTGCCTGTGGGCATGCCTATCATGCCTCCATCCTTGCATTGCTTCTTCACATGACTTATTGTAATCCAATAAATAATTAACCAAAACAATGCGAATATGTTAATCCTACTTCACCATCCATGCAGCATAATCCTTCCTGTGATTTATTTTGGCGAGATAAATGTTGAACTTTTGTCAACCATTATTAAGTAATCCACAGCAGATAAATGGCTCTGATATGGAAGTGATTTTCGCTCTGAACAGACAAAATTGCTGTGATGAATATTTTTGGATCGGAAACTTTAACGCTTGCTTAATCATTTCATTTCCATCATACTCGTTTTTTTTATCCTGACTTGCCCGTCTGCTTATAAAATCTGCTTTGTGCAGTGGACCGGACGCGAATGCAGGAACAAGTTGGAAAAGCCTATTGTGTTCGGAAAGGCCAACAGATAACGGGGACCAAATTGATTGTTCCATGTTAGGGCTTGTCTAGTCTTGCAGTGACGAGAAACATCAATCACTGTTTCAGAAGATAGTAGTGAAAAACCCATCATTTTCTCAATGGAAATATGCATCCTTCAATGAAACTCAGTAAAAAGTCGCCATGGTTGAGGTATTGACTATTGTGATCAGAAACCTCCTGCAGCTTTCAAATGAAACCTTGAAAATCTTTGATATCAATATTTACCAATTTTAGCAATTTCATTCCACAAGCAGAAAATGTAATCACACAATCTTAGAATGAAAAAGATGCGGCACAAACTTGGTGTGGATTCAACAGACTATGGTCAGGGAAGTATGTAATCTCCTGCATGTAAAAAGCCAGTTCTCTCCACCACAAAGGAATGTCAGCTCCATGCAAGGCTATGGCTACTCTGCCTTTGGGCAAAATGTTCCTCAAAGAAAATCTTGTGCAACAATAATCATCAGTCTGTGTTATGGTAT